ACCTACGGCTAATTCACTATTTCAGACAATAGAATTAAGGAAAAGGGAGAGCGATAAAAAAAAAAGGGATGAAACAAACAGGAGCTAATGATTGTTCGATGCCTGGTCTGGTTTTGCTTGGGATACCCACGGTCAGCTCAGAACCCAGATTTGATCAAATTCCCGGAGCTCTAACTTTTTTTTGCTATCCCCCGATGATCGACACAATCCATGACGCGTCCCCTATTTACCTGATCACTAACCTTACTGAGCCCGGCAGTACGGGCGATGGCCACATGCATATGGACAGCGTGGAATCGTGTTGCATTCGACCGACAACATGATGTCAGGTTCGGCACCAACACTGCGGCCATTTATTCCAAGTTTGGTGCCACTATGGCGGCTTATTTCAGCTTGGGACCACTACGCGAGTCTATTTCAGGTTCGGGATGACTATGCTCATGTATTCACACCGCGACCTATGAGATATGAGTGTGGGATTAGATGGTTGTCGTAGTGTTACCGCCATGTTACTTGATTGTGCCGCACGGCTCCATTGCGTCGGTGTGGCCGCTGTTCCGGTTCGGGCGTCTGGTTCGAGAGAGGTTCGGAATTATCACGATATGGCGGCACGGTTTGGTGCCTACATGGTATAACATCCTGGTTCTAGTTCTCAGGTTCGGTATTATCCTAGAGCTGCGGCATTGTGCGGTACTTGACACGCATCGAGTTCGTTGTTGGTTCAACGTCGGTACGGTACGGGTCCGGCATCGAGATGGTACAACAACAGGTACTAGTTACTCTGGCTCGGAACGGGCTCGGTACGGGTACGACTTATTTCAGGCTCGGTATCGGCTCGGCCCTTGACGGACTCCAGGTTCGGTATTGGTCAGGCATCAACATGGTACGGGCCACAACAGTTCAAGACGGTTGTCTCAGGTTTGGTTTTAGTTCGGCATTGATAACGGGAGGAACTATGGTATTTCAAAATGATTATCTCAGGGTTAGCATTGGTACGATGTCGGTCACGACGACATGCCTGATAGGGTATGGCAACGCTAGTCGTCGGCGGTATGATTCTGTACGGGCTACTTCAGTTTCCTGTTAAGGTGACCAGAATGACCACTAGTTCGGTTCGACATCGACAAGGTACTGCAAGGTGGTACTTATTCCCAGGGTCGGAACTATCACGGCGCGGTGGCATTGTACTATTTCTCTTTGTTCCTGGAACGGTCTGTGGTACGGTTACTGGTCTGGGACTGAGACGACTCGCTGTTGTTCGATTATCATTAATTTTGGGGCTGCAGGTTTCCGACTAGGGTGGCTCATTGATGCTCAACAACACTACTCCAAGGTACATAATTGGTCTGGGCCAAGGGCCAAAGGCAGACTGCATGGTCTGCGAAAGTGCCAGTCCTCGAACCACGAGCGCTGGGCAGGGACCGCCGGACCCTTATTTTCGATGTTGTTGAACGGAATCGCAGGTCGGCAATATTATGAGGCTGTGGGTCTAGTACCGGGGGAGTCTAGGACCACGGGTACAAACAGTGCCAACCTCCAGTAGCGGGCTAGTACCGCTGAAGGCCAGAGGCGAGCTCGTGGGAGCTGGGTTCCAGACAGGGAAAAGGAAAGACCACGAGGGGCTAGGGGGCAGTATCGGAGAGTGCGCCAGGTGTCCGCCACCCCCATCAGCCTGGTTGACTTTGTGGCACGGAGCTGCAGTGACGGGGAAGGAGTTGGGGGGTGAGGCGGTGCCAGGAGAGGAGAGCGGGCAAGACGTACTCAGCCCACCCCGTGTCTGAGATCARCGGTCAAAYAAGCAGGAAGAGGGACAACGCGAGGGAGCGGGCCGAACTAGCCCTCTCGAGTTCGTCTGCGGAAAAGACGGTAAGAAGAGCAGTGCGTGCTTGGCAAGCTGAGCGCGAGGCAATCTCACCATCAACTCGTTTCTCACAGACCTACTAGCTGGATACTGCGAYRTAATCTGAGGGAATTGAGACGAGAGCTCGAGTCGTGAGAGCTTACCCAGGGGTAACCTGACAGTGCAAGCGGCGAGTGCGCTTGGCGTGCACGGTTATCATGAGAAAGGGGGAGAGAGCGAAAGAGTTGGAGTGAGTGAGTGCTGCTGTCAGTAAGAGAGAGTGACTGTTCCTGTCAGTGAGAGAGAGTGAGTGCTGTTGTCAGTAAGAGAGAGTGACTGTTCCTGTCAGTGAGAGAGAGTGAATGCTGCTGAGAGTGAGAGTGAGAGAGAGCGTCCACATAAAAAAAAACTGGCGAGAGAGAGGAGAATATAGGCCTGACTGTAACAGTGGCCATGTTCATCCGAGTGTGAGCAATCATGATCATGAGGAGAGGAGTGACAATGAAGTCACGGCGAGAAGTGAGTTGGCTGTGATCATACACGTTTGTGCAACTGGTCTGAGTGCAGTGAGGTACGCGATCATGAACAATCATCTGAGCTACAAGCGCTCTGCAAGAGGGCTGCACTCTACTACTCCGCTGATTGGCTGAAATGACTTATTTATTTATTTATTTATTTTGAAATATTCGAAAGTCAGTAATCCAG